TAAGCTGCTGTAGAACGCTTCGGGCAGTTCTCTGAGCTCGGTGACATCCGGACCAAGGCCCACAGATGTGCGGATCCCAAAATCAAAATATAATGACCACTAGCTCAGGCTCAGCTGAAAGGTGGGACAAATGTGGAAGAGGTAAGGACGGAGATTTTTCGTCGAAGCGGAAAAGTAGACGAAATTTAATATACGGCTTTGGACGGTGGGGACAAGTGTTGCTATAAAATTTGATTGAATTTAGGACAAATCGAAATGTACAATTAAATTGTTAATGACCACCATGGGATGATGGAGATGGTAAGGAGGAAGACAAGGATTCAAAGGGAAATTGAGGACAAAGTGATGCCGAAAATGACTATAATTAGAGCAATTAAAAGTTATTTTCCGACTGGCGAGGCGCACAAATATTTTGTCACGAAGGAAAGCCTTTATGTGCTGGGGTAATCAGTGAGATCAAAATGTTGATAATTTAATTATGATTTTTTACTCGCTGTCATTCGGTCCGAGTTTAACAGCCATGGAAAACAGATTGTGTGAAATATCAATAATTCCAGACCAAGGGAATGCTTGAATCCTTTTTGATTAACCTGATAGTTATTATTATCCAACGATGTCCCAAGAATTATACGATAATGGCGTGGAAGTTTATTTTTGTAATTGTGCTCTGTATTTGAGCTGCAATTCTAGACTCTAGACCCTGGAAGTCCTTTAAATGTATTTAAAAGTCTCCTAAACATGTCTTGAAAGTATTTTAAAACTGTACTGAAACTTTTCTGTGGTCCTGTGAATGTTACCAAGAAACCCTCTGAACTTGTCCTGTATCTTCTTCCTGGAAAAGACCCAGCTTCTTGAATATAATTTTCTGTAAGTCATTGGGATTTGATCTTAAAGTATCCTCCTATAAAGATTCTGCTTTTCTTTAAGCTTATCTGGAGATTCCTAGTGAACTCCATAAACATGTCTTGGTAGTCTCTCAATTTCTTAAAGAACTCCTCTTCTATAAAGCTCTTTCAGTATGTTCTAGAATTTTTTTGGAATTGTACCTGAAATTCCCATAACTCTAAAAAGAAGTTTCTCTTGGAGGTTCACTTAAACGGAATATGTATGGCGTTTATTGGTAACCAAGCTATCCTCAGGAGCTAAATCACCTGTCACTTTAGCTTGTAACGCTGCTTTTACTTTCCTTGTCAGAAGACACAGCCCTATTTACGGAGGTCTGCCACTATCACCGTACAGTTCAATCATTCTTGTAGCAAACGAACGTTTGATAGATTATGCCTCCGCACCACCCTGCCCTGTATACTTCCGACTACAGACTTCCCCCGCCAAGTTTTGTTGTTGATTCCTTTCCAACCACATAAAAGTACAACTTTGTAGACAAAACATGAAATCAATAGCACGTTTTTCGTTGCCTTTAGAAACGCCTCAAGGCTGATAAGAATCTTTCTATGTTGTACCTTCACCGTCCATCCACCCCCAAGCTTGCACACAATCTGAAGTGTAGCACTTCCAGACGACGGCGACGACGATGCTCCTTTCCTCGGAATACACTAACTCTTAGGTCGCACAGGGACCCAGCCAAGAATCAAATCACATTATCGGTTTGTTCTACGTGACGCTGATAGGATTGATTTTGTCGCTCTTTTCCTCCGTTAGTAGCCCGTCAACCCGTCGTCGTACCATCTTGAGCAAAGGATAAATGTTGCCAGCCATCAGTGGCTCCTCGCACTACACTGCTACTGCCATTGTGTCTGCAATCGCGTCATCGCGTGCATGCTCAAGAGACCGGAAACAAGTGGAAGGCTTCAGAACCACACGACGACAACGGTGTGGTTATGGTACACGCAATGACTCCAGCTCATTCCCACTGCCACTGCTACATTCATTTTGTTTGTTGAAAGGATTTGCGGAAACCGGAGAAATCCCTTGGCCAGATTTGTGGTGTCATCTTTTGTCATCTCCTTTGGAGGGCGTGCAGATGGCGCAGTATAGTCCAACAGCCAGTGTCCGATAATAGATGGCGCTGGTGATGGTGATTCGAATGATTCGAAAGGATAACGTCGTTAGTGCCGCTTTATTTCACGCTAAATTGAATTTGACTTTTCCGCTGGCTGGGAGGTATATTCTATGGCGGCTGGGTGGCATTCGGATAGGGTTGCCATATGGTTGAAAGGTCCTACCCTGAGCGTGCAAATCAACAGTAATTGCATTTTTGAAACAAGATATTGTTTGTAAAGTAAGTCATACATGGCCAAATTTGAGCTCCGTTTGCTAAAATTCACATAAACCACGATCGTTCACAGTCTGAGTAACATTTTACTCATATATGAGTGACATTTACTCATATTTGAATCAAATTTTACTCAGTCTATGATTGATCGTGTTTTTTTTAATTTGAGTTAACGGAATTCAAATGTGAGTCAGATTTAAGGACAGTGCAAAAACCACGATTTTTTTTTTTAAATATCATGCATCTAGTTTTCCTGAGTGTGCGTTACTGTTTTGCTAGGGCTCACGGAATTACCTACCTGCAGGACCTAATATTGTTCTTATTAATTGTTTGGTAGCGTTGTCTCATGATACCGAACCATCATGTTGGGTTTGAACGGGTCCATCAAAATGGGATTAACAGTAAACGCACAATTCTGACAACATCATTACTGGTCACCGCAACGAAACATGGAACGAAGGACATCGTGAAGCCAGCTAACTAGGTCATCTGTGATACGATGCGATTCATTGACTATGAATATAATCCCAGCGGGAAATGTCTTGCCTGATGTTCCGGAACACTATCGGTGCTTCTATGGCTGTAGCTGCTCACGGGGGTAGCATTAACTGGTGATGATTCTACGACGATGGATGTGTGCCATAGTCAATTCCCTGTTTGTTGTACCAGTTAGGAATAATCAGGCAAATATTCATGAGCTTTTTGCTGTAGTTTTAACCATCAATTCGTGAAGGCAAATTAGTAATTCATACGATTTGCTTTCCAGTGTATTCTGAATCAACATTTAGGAGCTTGTTTTACTTGATGGTATCTGAATAAGATTCGAGGTAGCACAATCTTAACTATGTTCAGTTTTGTACAAACTTCATCATCTTGCATTAGACTTCATCGCAAAGGAGTGAAACTGATTTTGTAAATAATGAAATCTCGCGAATGGAAGATCACACCTACAATCAAACAACACCATCAAAAAGAGGAATGTTTCCTCTACCAGCCGGTATCCTTAGTTTGCATCAGTGAGTTTTTATTTACGAGAAAGCGGTGAATATAGTAATTGTTTACTAGAGTAATTGAATGTTGGCATCGAATTGCCTTTTTTAATTCAAATTCGCCGGGGTTCTTAAGTGTTTCCTCGGTTAAATTTTTATTTTGAACCTAGTTATATTTTTACTGGGAGCCAAATATCGCACCTGAAGAATCATTTATAATCCAGGATGTTGTCAAATTTGAATATTTCAGATAAATTTGAAATCAGTAACATGCAAGCTTCATTGTAAGTGGTTTAATATTGAATGAAATAACAATTAATTAATTTACTATGACATTGACTATATTTACATGGGAATTGAACTTCGTTACATCAACCGCCATTTTCTCAATGTCTTCTTTTTCCATATGAGACTGATATGGAATTATAGGCAGTACAGAGAAGTCGAGAAATTTTCCAAACTGAAAAATTCCTAGAACGGACCGGGGATAGAACCCAGCCATCGACTGAGCTAAGGGAGGCCGACATTAACTAATGCGGTCGCCGGAATGTTTTTAAAATAATTTTGTAATTTTTATGTTAGTTTATTTTTCGAACAAAGTTTGTTTCTCCAAATGCATTGCCTCTAGAAAATTATCTCGTGAAAGTTTTATACAAAATATGCCTTCTGGAAAAACTTTCTTGCCAGAACTGCCATTACATTTGTTGTATGAAACATATGCACAGGACGTAATAAATCCAACCTTACATTGGATGTAAGAGAAATTTGATTTGCATGTACTAATACTGACTTAATTAAAATAATACAAATTTCAAACAATACTGCAACGTGATTTTATAACTGGGTAACATGCAGAAAATATTTATTACGATGACATTGTAGTCTGCAAGTTAAATATGCAATTTATCTGAACATTTTCAATTTGTGGTTACCAATCTGCCTTAAAACGTGCATCCGAAACAAACCCTGCCTATCGTGAAGGTTTCGTTCTGGAAATTCCAATTCAATCGTCCTACATTGTATATTGATAATAAATTTGCTCAATCACACCTCTTCCATCCGGTTGGAATTTCCAATCCAAGACGGAAAATCCAGCAACTTCACAGACGCTTTTCTGTGGTTTCTCACAGAAAACTGGAGAATCAGTGCCGCGCGTCGTCGGCAAGCTAAAGGCAAATTGAAATGTTTTCAATCAGCACCACAGCAGCCACATTCCCCGGTTTTCCTCCGGATTTGAATGCAATGCAGCATGCATTGCCCCCCGTTCGAGTTCTATGCAGTCTTGGGTGGAAAGTTCTGAGTCAATCCGTAGGGAAAATGCATTCCACCCACTTGCTGTACTCAGAAGGAGAGCTGCAAAAGGCAGCACCAACTGCGGCAGTAGGTGTATTATTTCAGTAATGTAAAACGAAAACTCAGCTGGAGACTGCCCGGATAAGACAAGACGGCCGGCACAAATCTAGGGCAATGATGAAGCGATTGGCTTTCGGGCTTATTACTGAAATGACAGGCCATTGCAGTGAAACTGACGGCAATCTGCCGAATAGATGTTCCACTGGATGATGGATTACTTTTACGAACGGAAGGGATGAATTGTTTTCCTCGAATTTCCATGTTCAGCATTGGTTGATCTCCTGGCTAACGGTGATGACATGATGTAACAGAAATAAAGTTCAATGATTCGCAATGATGGTCTAATCAAATCCAATGTCGTCAAACGCAACACACAGAGTCTCGGAGCGCTTTTAATTAAAAATTAATCTTGTTTCTCTTTACAGCAACTATTCAGATCGAATCCCGGCTTAACAGCTGCCAACTCAGCGGTACAGGGTGCACCGAACGGACAGCAACTGCAACAGTCAGCCCTCTCGCTATCGGCCCAGCAGCAACAGTTTTTAGCGCAACACAATGCAGCCTATGCAGCGCAACAGGCAGCGCCCTACGTCATCAACCCGGGTCAGGACCCGTCGCCGTACATGGGGGCGCTCATCACGGCCGGTGTACCGCAGTACTACGGAGTGGCCGCAGCGCCCTGGGGAGTATATCCTGCCAATTTGATCCCCCAGCAGCAGTCACAGCCCCGAAGGCCACTAACACCCTCCCAGCAAGGTGCCGAAAATCAACCCTACCAGGTGAGAGAGCCAGATACACTATGTCGTACGACGCCACCATCACTGAGCACGTTGCTCCCCATTCTCCAAATTCCCTAAATCCCCGTCGGGTCTAGTTTTACACTTTAGCACCACCGACGTTTATCCATTTATACCAATTAAGCAATTTCAGTCACCTTCCTTTTTTTTTGCTACCTCCGCACGTTCGCTACACTCCGGTTGCATACGGCCAGAAGGGGGCCTCAGTAGAATTTAAACGTTCCATTTCCTGCCAATGTTCCTCGAACCTAAATAAAATAATCGTATTTGTGACACACAATAAGCTTTTGTCCCTGAGCGTGTAACCCGGGACAATCCATTTTCAAGCTATTTTAGTTTACTTACACTCTCTCCTTCAACCCACTCACTTTCCGCCCTACGGAGTCTGCCCAGTATCCTCCTAACCTGTCTGTCATGTTATATGCACATTTACATTTTTGTGATGTTTTCATTTATGCATAATTGAACTGTGCAATACCATTCTCGATCTCCTCCCTCACAGACCCCCCCCCCCTTCCCTTCACACATATCTTTCACAATAGAGCCCTGTGTATTATACATTTATTCAAGTTTGAGTGTACAGAAAAAGCAATTCCCCAATCCTTACCAACCTCCGTTTAACCTCTCACTCTCACCTCCGTCTCTCAGTACAGTTAAGCCTTACTCGGGCAAATGACATGTTTCTATGTTGCCCGCCCTGGCCGCATACGTTTCGCATGAATTTATAATGAAATTCCAATCCGCCCCGTGTTGTCCCACAAGGGTGTTTTGGTTTTTTTTTTATTAATGGAGTCCGGAAAAAATACTCACAATTTATACAACGCAATCCATTTGACGCGTGACATACTATACTGTCTGTCGAGGGCAGCGTTTTTCAATCGGTGGGGAATTCCAGCCATACTAGCCTTAGTGAGTGGAAGCGAACTTTTTTTTGAAACGGAGAAGGTTGAAAAACACTGGTCTAGAGCATCGTTTCTCAACGTTGCCCCACCGTGCGATAGAGCTCGCTCCACATTGCTTTCGTTTATGTGGTTCACGAACCCCAGGTTGAAAACCGATGGTCTAGAGAGTCTAGATGGACAGGCGGCGAACATTATAAACTGTGCTTGCACCTTTCGATTTCGATAGGGATTGCTACGGGGGTCATTAAAAATTAAATGCTATTTGCTTTGGTAATTGGATTTAATTGGTACTCGTGGGCTTTGATTTTTTGGTAGTTGCTTTATTTTATGTTTTATTCGGAATAATTAATAGATGCTACTTTTAAAAAATCAAAACCGCATGGCTCATTTACAAAGTTAAAAATAACGAGCATCTCGGAAAAACTGCTGGCGTTTAAACAGAGCGAAATATAGGATACATTTTATAGTCTAATACATTTTAAGAAAAGAACGAGCAGCTTTTGAAAGAAGGTAAAAAAAACCTCATTATACTTTCAAATCCTGGTTCTCAAAAGTTTTCCAGGAGCCCCCGAAATCTTGTTCTTGGGTTTTAGACTACTTTTGCGAGCGTTTTGCCGGTTCTCAACGTAGTGTTCTACATGCACTTCCACAGCTCCGGAGTGATTCAAGATTTAGACGTAAATGTATTTGTAAACAAACACGTCAATCGCCGATTTCTCGCAAACAAAGTATACCAAATGATAGAGGAATCATTCATCTTCCTGATTATGTTGCTAGTTTTAGAGATCTAGCATTAATTCGCAAAAAAATCAGCGGTTGACCGCCCAAATCTCGCATCAATCCGGATTTATTAATTAAGAGCTTTGGCAAGCATAATGATGCTCTAATCCCTGGGAACCCGATAAAATTTCCAACCCGAAAGATTTCCTCGGCCGGGTCGGGAACTTGCCGCCTCCGTCTTAGTTATACTGTGCCTTTATCGAGTGGGCTATCTGAGCTCCCGGAGTAAACATGTATAAATCTCTAAGACCTGAAAATCATTCCACCTAATGGCCATGTGTTTTTTCGGTCATACGAACGACCACCGTTGGTTAAATGGAACAGCTCGGATACAAACCCCATCCAATTCTGGAAAATATTGGAAATGTAGTGTATCCTCGTAAATTTAAGAGAAAATGCCTTCGGTGAAATGGTCCAAGCTTTAAATAGAAGTAAAGGGTGAGAATTGGTACGTTGATCCTATTTTATATGGGAGCGGGACATTTCGCCAAAGGACGTTTCGGTGAAGCTCATTTCATCAAATGGGTCATTTCGTCGAAGGTAGTTTCGCGGAATGGGTCATTTCGCCGAAGAGCAATCCATTTTCTACGGTGTTGAACTTTTCTCAAACCTCAGTAAATTTTGAAAGCAGTCTCGAACAAAGATTAAGAAGGTTCGATTTTTTCACCCTGGCAGCAATTAAAATATTTTTTTTTTTATTAATTTAATTTATTTGATAAGACTCAAACGAATTAACTTTGCAGAGCCGAGGATTCTTGGTCACTATGCAATACATCTTAAAAATATAGTCAAAAGGTACCACAGAATAAAAACTTTATCTTCCGCTATCCAAAAAGCCTCGTCCATCAGAACTGGAGTCGCTTCAATGGCAGTTACGCCATCGGGGGGCAGAGCGCTTCCATTGCAGCAATGGACGCAAAACGTGGTCAGCACTCACACACTCATCACGAAACGGTTGCTTTCCAAAGTCGACGACGCATCGACCGAAAGAACTGCTGATGAAGAACAATGTAGAAGAACCACACAATGGTTGCTGTCGATAAAACAGACGATCGCGTTGCACACATCGAGAGTGGCCTGCTTTTGTCGACAGCCGAGTGAACACTGAGCTATTCAAATGTAATGCTTCCTTCTTTGAAATATGGCCAGTTTTTTTAGTTGTACTTATTTAAGTAATTTTCAAATAATAGATATTTTTGCGAGTTGTACTGATTTCGGATTTTTTGAAATAATCAATATTTGTGATTTATAAGAATGCTTCCCTAGCAGCACACTTGTCACTGAGTAGTTGTGGTAACTTGTATGTAGCTTATTTCAGTCACAATACAGTTGCAGCAACTTTTTATGAGGGAAGTGTGTTGCTTGGGTTCCTTCTTTTAAACATGCCGGGGGGGCGACCCCGGCGTAGTGGTTAGCATCCATACCTCTCACGCCAAAGTCACGAGGTCAAATCTCAACAAGTCACGAATGACCCAAGAGCGTTAAAGTGACTATAATTTAAAAAAAATAATAAATAAATAAATAAACATCAGCAGTTCTTTCGAGTTGTAAAATTCGGCTAAATTACCCATTCGGCGAAATGAACCATTCGGTGAAATGTTCTTTGACGAACCGTCCTTCAGCGAAATGACACAGCCCCATTTTATATGAAATGTTATCAGTTTGCTTGAAAATTTGTAAAGTCTTCTAGATCTGTGCTTCTCAATTATGCTCTTTCAAAATACTGGAGATTCAAAGGTTCGGTTGATTTCTTTTCTCCACAAATTTTCCAAGTCCTAGAGATTCTCTATGTGCCATTAAATTTTCATAGTTTTAGAAAGCACAAACTAATTGGAAATATTTGCACGTCCTCTGAATTCAATAAATCATTTAAGCGTTGAAATTTACCATGTCTTAGACATTTTCTTAGATCCATAATTTTTTCAATACATTACAATTTTCCAAGCGTTGAAGTACATTTGCAAGTCACAGAAAATGTTCAAGTTCACAATTGTTTTCAGAAAAATTAACTAATGATCATTCGTACTAGCCTTCAGTGTATTGCTCGAACAGCATATTGAACCATAGCACATTCAAAAAATTTCGAAGGGAAATTTACTTCAGTGTGTGAATTAAAAAAAAAATGTTTTCGGCGCCTCGTTTGAAATTATAAAAAAAAAACAGTCATAATTAAATTCCTGCTGCCATTTTTCATAAAATAACGACAGTGAAATAATGCGTTGAAAAAACTAGGGATGAATTTGAAACTATAATTTTTTATAAAATGCGCCAAAGTTAATTGTACTAATCTCAAGATTCCCGAGGTTGATAGATCTGTAAATGTAAGACATTGCTAGCTTCTCCGCAGCAAACAAGCAGTTTCAGCTTCACAAAAATATTAAAATTTGGCTTCTGAAAATAACGAGTATATCAAGAAAATTGACTCTAAAAGATTAACCTTAATCGATTTAACACATCTTCAATTTTATCTTTCTGGATACTATTTAAATCGATTTTTCAAGTTTTCTGTGTCATTCAATGATAGCTGTATAATTCCATAAACTATCGAGGGGTGCTGAGATTGTGTACATTGAAAATGTAATGATGATTATCTGTAAGTAGTTACAAACCCTTTGTAAATATTATGTTAAGTAGTACGATTTTTAACACAGGCGTAGCTATCGCTTAATAGATGTGGGGTTATTTCCATGTGATAAAACATGCGAAATATCGCGTAAATCGACAATTTAGTATGCGACTTGCCTCGAATATACTACATTAACAATATAGTTCACTCTTTTGTTTTTCCGGAGACCCGATTATCAGCCAAAAAGTGCGCCTTTGCGTTAGAAAAGGTAACTAATGTATTATGTCTGAGGTTAGACCTATTAATTTTTGTTTGACTCGTACATTTGAAGCTTTTCTATTGATACTACAGTTTTAGAGCTTGTAGAACTTGCGTACAGATTTACTATAAAGCCGGCTTAACCTATTTATTATGGCTTTTGAAGTTATCTTCTGAGTTTTGCGGACAGGACAAATAAATCTAGTAAGAACTCGTTTACTAGAGCGCTACTTCGTCGTAATCGCCCATTTCCCTTCTATCGATCAGAAAATATCGATAATTTCAATGATTTCACCATGCACAAATCAATAATAGGTTTTTTTTCCGATGCGTTAGTTCATTAGCTAAAGGGTGATACGGTCAAAATTTGGTCAATATCAACTTGACGTATTTCTTTCAATTTTGCATTTAAAAAACCTGAACACCCCTCATTTTGAAGGTGTGTGTGTATAGAATGTTGCTCCTATTTTGATTTT